CTACTCTACTCTACTCTACTCTACTCTACTCTACTCTACTCTACTCTTTCTATTTCTATTCTATCCTACCCTACACCTGAATGCCGGACAAATATCTAAGAATTTAGAGAATAGTTGTCCTCAAAGAGTTCATAGGGTCATTCTGAGGACCAAGCTCATTTTAGTTCAGAGCCAGTAGATCAAAGTCAAAAATTAAGTTAAATGCATTAGTTTGAAATTCTGGCTGATGAACACATTCTATGCAAGAGAATATTTGTAACTCAAGAGTTGAACTGTGGGATCCTTATTGCTGGTCTGAGCTTGGTCGTTTTCTTGGCTGCTTTGAATCTCATGATAAACAAGCCAACAGTAAAGAACAGCCTAATCAAGGAACCACCAAGAACGGTCCCACCAACACTGACAGGATTAGCCAATATATAAAAAGAGAACAAACCCCACTCCCTTCTAACACTGATGATGTTCCCTAGTTGGGTAATGAAACGCCTACAACACAACAATCAAGCTCAGAGAGCACCAAGGATTCCACGTTCCACCCAAAGAGTAGAAAGAAGTGGGAAAAGTCACTGCAATATCCAATACCTTGTTGTCATCTTCTCGTCTGCAAGACTTATAGAGCTGTCTGATGCTGGATTGTCCTCTTCAAATGCCACACTTGGGGGTGGCGATGGAAATTCTTCTAGATTGTCAATGGGACTCTCAGGAGGTGGTGGATATTCTGATAGATCACCCATAGGATGAGTCTGGGCTTCTTGGATGAAAACATCATCATCATCCTCTTCTCGACAGAACAGTGGTGGGGACATCTGGAGGTAGGTCTCTGAGATGCGAAGAGACAACCTTCCTTGACTAGAGAGAGATTCTGGCTCAGAGAAGGAACTATTCTTAGAGGGGATCCCATGCCATTGTTGGAAAACCTTCTGGCCAGATGTTTGAACAGAAGTGGAGCTCTTTGGATGGTTGTCCTCTCTGGCCCATTTCATTTTAGCTGGGGCTTGTCTTTGAGACAGAGTAGGCTTGGACTTCCAAGTTGTTTCTTCTCCTGGCTCCTTACTTGGGTGATTGACACTTTCCAGGACCTGGCTCGGAGTTTTGTTATTGTCTTCCTTGTCAGCTCTGGGCGGCCACCTCGTGAGCGTGTTGTCTCCAGCAGCGGAGAAGTCTGAAAGAGTCGGGGTGGAGGATGCCGAACTGCGGGAAGAATAGCTGGCTTTGGAAGGAGCGACCCGTCTGAAGCCTTGCTTGGCCTCGGAATGCTTCTCCTTCATATCCGGGCAAGGGGAGACAAAGGCCGAAGTCCGGCTGTGATGTCGGAGAATATCAGGGACCTTCTGTCTCTCTGCGGGTGGCGCCGAGCTCCCCACATTCTCGCTGCTGTGATGAGGACGGTATTGCGTGAACGCCGATTTTTCCAGGTGGCCTCTCTTGCTATTGCCAAATGACCTGGGAGAGAGCAAGAAAACAAGAGTTTTCTCAAAGTGGAATAAAACAAAACAAAAAGAGGGGAGGAAAAAAAGCATTCTGATCCACCAAATTAGACTTAGACTAACTATGTCACTTTGAATGCACATCGATGAATTAAAATGAAATTTCATTGTGTACAGCTCTCAAAGGGCCCCCACCTCCAATATACACGACATAAACATGACAAAATAAATAAATACAAAATTATGCATATACCGTATGTTAAGGAATCCAACCGGGTTATCATGGATATGCTGGATGACTGTTCTTATGCCATCTTCACTTGGACAATTATCCACAAACACAGCTGTCTGAATATGGTACTGTGTATTCACACCAACTCTCAGTATTCTGGGCCCATAACCAATGTTAAGGACTATGCACAGAGTAACCCTTGAGTAGCAAGGTTGTGCACATGAGAAACGGCTGAGAGTGATTGTGAATAAGCACTGTCAATACACAGACACACAGAGTTGTGATATTCTTTTACTTTTAGGAAAAACAAAGCAAAGTCCAATAAACAATCCAGGTCATACACAGATAAAGATAGTTAAATTGTCGATCCAGGGATATTCCAAGAACAAAGTCTTCTTACCAGTTGTTGTAGTCATATGCAATAAAACAGTTCTTTTTAGAGTTGCAACAGGAATAAGTATAGCAGTAAAACCATCAGTAAAACAGTAGAAAACAACAAGTAGCAATGATCAAGCAGTGATCATGCAGAGAGAACAGGCAGAGAGGAGCAGAGGTAGCAATAATAATGGAATAAGAGAAAAAACAAGCCATGATTCAAGCTTCCTCTTAAGTACGTTGGCTACAGAGCTAGCCAATCAGAATACAGTATGATGCAATATAGCATTACAGTCTTAAAGCTATATATTACATTTTGACTGCAAACATGCATTGATGGTTTATATATATATCCATTCCCTAACACCGTATTTTTCAGATTATAAAACACACAGGAGTATAAGACCCACCAAGATTTGGAAGAGGTAAACAAGAAAAAAAGAAGTTTTTGCCCTCCCTGGCCCCCAGGAGCATCCCATTTTTAGGAAAAATGGGGCCTGCAGAGGGTTTGGGAGGCCTGCAGAGTGCTCCTGGGGGCTGGGGAGGGCAAAAACGTGACACATGGGGGGGTTTGGGAGGCCAAAAATGGGCCCGTTTTTCACAAAAACGGGAGAGTTTTTGCCTTCCCCAGCCCCCAGAAAGACTCTGTGTTCTCAGGGTCACCTGAATGATGCGAATGGGTGTGGAGCCTTCTTGGTACTGTTGAAAGGACTGTGTTGTAAACAGGAGGAGTGTCGTATCCTCCCCCTCTGTTGAGAGAGGGCAGTTCAATTTTGACACAGATGGGCTCTTTGACCCCTCTTTCAAACCAGCAGCCCTCTCTGTCCAAAATGTGGACTTTGCTGTCTTCAAAAGAGTGGCTTGTATCTTTTAAATGCACATTGGACTGCTGAATTTAGTCCTGATTCAACAGTTCCAAGAAGACTCCACATGTCAAAACGATTGATTTTGATATGTCAAAAGGATTGTGTGGTTCCCGGTGTTTTTTAACAACTTGTTCTGTCCCCCTTCCCCACACAGGCAAACACACAACCAGGCACGCCTGCCAAGATTTTATTAAGCAATCAGACTAGAAACCCTTGCAGATGAGAGTTTTGGCAGTAAATTGCGAAATGCCTGCCAAGTCAGTTTTCACAGTCAGCAAGAGAGAGTTTATCCTCAGTCTGGTTCAGTAGCAAAAAGTAATCCACGAAGCAAGAGTTAGCCAAGGTCCAGTCCAAATCCTTGCGGTTTTAATTTGTAATTGGTTTTAACTGGGTTGTTTTAAATTGATGGCCAAAATTATTTAATGTCTTTTAAACTGCTTTTAAATTTTATATGTTGTGTTTTACCGTGGCTGTTCACCGCCCTGAGTCCTGTTGGAGAAGGGCGGCATACAAATTAAATTAAATTAAATAAATAAATAAATACGCACAAGCCAGATTTCAGGTAACATGATGTGACTCTCAGGTTTTTAACTTTGACCGTCACAAAGCCTGAAGAGCAATCACACCCACTTTTATTCCTTGTGGAGTGTGGCTCAGTGACTCAGCTCAATCTCTGGCCCTCCCACGCCTCTTTCGTTGCTGCGCACGCTTCTCCCTCCGACGCTGCCTGGGCTCAAGCCAGGATTCATCATCCTCGCTCCCTATCTGTTGTTGTTCCGATATGCTTTCCTCCTGGCATATCCCAGGCTGTTCCTCTTGGCCTTTGGATGGAACCTGAGGCATTGCCAGAGAGGAGAGTCCTGGAGAGGGAGGCCTTATCAATTCCTCCCCATCACCTTCTGAGTCCTTTTCCTCTGTTAAGACAGGCTCGGGAGTCGGGGTCACAACACAACTGGTTCTCTGCTCTAATGTCCGGCTGGGTAGGCGTGGCTGGGGGGGTGTCATGTGACTGGTGGAAGTAAGTGACATCGAGTTGGCCACGCCCACCCAGGTTTTGTGGCTCCCGGTGTTTTCTTTTCTGTGAGAAACGGGTCCAAATGGCTCTTTTGAGTGTTTAAAGTTGCAGACCCCTGTACTAAACGATAAGCAAGATCTCCATCCCAGTAAATAGGTGGTTTTACAAATAGGGACTGGACAGAAACATAAAACTTTCAACACAATCGAAGGTCCCAGTAATACCCCGATCCCATGTTAGGGAGCATGACACAAATACGTTAGGTTAATACATGACATTCTGAAATAGTTCTCGTATGATTTCCCTGCCATCTGGAGCCGTCATTATGTGGGATATGCAAAACATCTGAAGGGAGTCCTTTCCCAAAGCGTGTGGCTGCAAGCAACCCGACCTCCCTTTGAATGTGGGAGCAGCTGTGAAGTCTGCAAGGCTTAGCACAGGCTAAGTTTGGGGGTTGCTGGAAGTCGCTGTGCGTCTCACAGTGAGGCTGCGGAGGAAGTAAAGCATTTGAGGGTGTTTGTGGCAATGGAGGTGACCGGGAAGTTTTGGAAGGAATCCTTTCTGGTCGAACTAACATTTCACTCAACCTGATACAATTTGAAAAGCATCCCTAATTATCTTTCCTTCCCTCCATTCGCCCTCCTCCCTCTTTCTTTCTTTCTCTTTCTTTCCCTCTCTTTCTTTCTTTCATCTTTCCCTCCCTCTCTTTCTTTCCTTCCTGCCCTGCCCTCCCTCCCTTCTTTTTTCTCTTTCTTTCTCTCTCCCTCCTCCTTTCTCTTTCTTTCTTTTCCTCACTTTCTTCTTCCTTCCTTCCTTTCCCTCCCTCCTTCTTTCCTTCCTTCCTCCCCTTCCTTCCTTCTTTCTTTCTCTTTCTTTCTCTTTTCCTCTCTGCCTTCCTTCCTTCTTTCTCTTTCTATCTTTCCCTCCCTCCTTTCTCTTTCTCTTTCTCTCACTGTCTTCATTTCTTCTTTCTCTCTCCCCTTCCTTCCTTTCTCTCTCCTCCCTCTTTTTTCTTTCTTTCCCTTTCTTCTTCTTCCTTCATTTCTTCTTTCCCTCCCTCCCTTTCCTTCCTTCCTTCCCTGCCTTCCTTCTTTCTTTCTCTCTTTCCCTCCCCCCCTTTTCTCTCTCTTTCTTTTTTCTTTCTCTCTCTCTCCCCTTCCTTCCTTCCTTCCTTCCTTCCTTCCTTCCTTCCTTCCTTCCTTAGAGGTTCAGGTGGAGGATGCGGGATCCGGGCCTCTCTGGATGCCCGCTCTGGCCCTCTGCCCGCTTCAGAGCCGGTGGCTGCCCAACTCTGGCAGGCATCCAGCATGGCTCTTTCTATTGAGGCTCCTGCTTCCGCCTGGAGCCCCCTCCTCCCTCGCGGCCAGCTGCACGGAGAGGCAGCCAGCCGCTGGAAACCCCCCTCCCCACAAGCAGGAAGACCGAGGGCTGGGGGGAAAGCGTGCCCCTTGCGGGAGCTTCATCCCTGGAGGCTTTCAAAAAGAAGAGACCGGACTGCCATCTGTCAGAAATGGGGTAGGGTCTCCTGCTTGGAAGAGGGGGGGGTTGGACTAGATGACCTCGAAGATCCCTTCCAATTCTTATTCTCAACCAAAGGATGGCTTGCTTTGGTTCACACAACCTTCCTGAAAGCAGGTCAGGTCCTAATTTAGCATAGGGGGGGGTCAGTTTGGGGACGTCGACTCCCAAGTTAAAAAAAAAAAAACAAAACAGGCAGTCCTCGGTTTACGACCACATTTCCGTCGTTAAGGGAGAGATCGGTGAAGTGAGGTTTGCCTCGTTTTACGCCCTTTCGTGCCAAAAGCTGTTGAGTGAAACCCTGCGGTGATTTTAAGTTAGGAAGACGGTCGTTAAGTGAATCCGGCTTCCCTGCCGACCAAAGGGATCACGTGACACATTTATTATTTATTTGATTCATTTGATTTTTATACCGCCCTTCTCCAGCAGGACTCAGGGCGGTGAACAGCCAAGGTAAAAACATAGCATACAAAATTTAAAACAATTGAAAAACATATTAAATAGTTTCGGCCCACAATTCGGCCCCCGGGGATGCTGCGACCGTCATAAATTGGGATTGTTAAATTTTATGGATTTGGGGTTTTAAATTGGGTAGCCAGTGATTTAACTCTTTTTAATTATCTTAACTTTTGCTTTTGCATGTTTTTTAATTTTGGCTGTTCACCGCCCTGAGTCCCTTCTGGGAGAAGGGCGGTATACAAATTAAATTAATAAATAAATAATAAATAAATAAATATGACTCGGTTGCCAAGGGTCTTTCTGAATTTTGTTCCTGTGGCCCTAAGGGTTGTAAGAGTGAAAAACGGTCCTAAGTCACTTTTTTCCAGTGCCGTCGTAACTTCGAACGGTCACTAAACGAACTGTTGAAGGCTATCTGCATTTTGCAGACCTGCGTTCCTCCATCTCTGTAAGACGGGTGGACTTCAACTCCCAGAATTCCCCAGCCAACTGCTACACCTCTTTTTTTTTTCCCCCCCTACCATTTCCTGGAGCGGAGAGATTGCAGAGGAAGGGATTGTAAGAGAGTGGGTATCTACATGAAAAGGAATGCATTTGTGCCAAGGAATTCCGGGAGTCGAAGTCGAAGT